GCCATAGCCGCCTGAGGTATCGGGAGTTGGAGGCCTCTCTCCTCCTTCCCCTCGCCAGTCCCCTCTCTCTCTCTCTCTCCTCCTCGGCTCCCTTCTTCTTCTTCTTCTTCTTCTTCTTCTTCTTCTTCTTCTTCTTCTTCTTCTTCTCTTCAGACTCCATCTTCTTCTTCTTCTTCTTCTTCTTCTTCTTCTTCTTCAGATTTGGAGACTTATACTAGTTGGACAGAGATCAGAGTTGGACTTCGGTGGTATGAGACTGTGGTACTTACCGGATTGGAGACTTGGAGATTGTTGGGGTTGATACTTGGCGGCATCACAGTTCGGACACCGGTTACATTTGGACTCTGTATCTCCGACATTGGTGACTGATTGTCCTCGACATTTGGATCTTGTTGGATGACATTTTGGACTACCATATCGGTGACCTATCGGATTCTATCTCGGTGACCTATCGGTGCTGTCTACCTCCCCCACCTCCTTCGTCTYTCCTCCCACCTTTCATCTGTGTATGYGTGTACGGGATCTGGGCATCGTCCATGCTTGGCCCAGACCCCACCATCTCACGATTGTATGTGTGTGGAGTGATGCTATGTGAGTCAGTCTATGTGAGTCAGTCCGTTTATCAGACTTCCGCTGCATATATGCTCATCCTACATTGGTTGATCTTTGGTTCTGCCCATACTCATTGAAGTATGTAACAATGGTCTTTGGAAGGGAAGAGGAGATGGTGGGAGGAGGAGGAGGAGGAGGAGGGGGAAGAAGGAGGAGGGGAGGAGGAGGAAGACTGGGGAGAAGGAGGAGAATGGGGAATCAAAGGCGCATGAAGACTCGGGGAGGGGGCGATCTGGGTTGGGGCAGGTAGTGCTAGGACGAATAGCAGCAGTGCTAGCAGTATTAAGAAAGATAGGAAGGCGAGAAAGCGGCAAGCTGCCCAATCCATGGCTTCCCGCTTCTCCTCCATCTTCATGCTCCTAATGCTACTTCTATAGCTGCGACTGCGATTCCAATTCCAGCAGCAATGCAGCAAAGTGCCAATGACAGTGTAAGTGCAGCGAATAGAATTGCGAACGCAGTAACTCCGGATGAGACCTTGGTCGGTTTCAGCCAGATGGGCTCTTCTTTTTTAAGCCACACCGCTGCTGCTGCGATCAGAATATTGGGGATTAGTGCTAGTAGAAACAGTGCGATGAGATAGAAGCAGAGGAGCTGCAAGCTGCCCAATCCATTGCTTCCTGCTTCTCCTCCATCTTCATGCTCCTAATGCTACTTCTATCGCTGCGACTGCGATTCCACTTCCAGCAGCAATGCAGCAAAGTGCCAATGACAGCATAAGTACAACGAATAGAATCGCGAACGCCGTAACTCCGTATGAGACCTTGGCCGGTTTCAGCCAGATGGGCTCTTCTTTGCTAAGCCACACCGCTGCTGCTGCGATCACAATATTGGGGATTAGTGCTAGTAGAAACAGTGTGATGAGATAGAAGCAGAGGCGAAGTGAAAGCGGCATTTGCAAAGAGGCTGCGGCGATACATGCATTTATGGCTAGCATGCTTGCTTCGCTTAGTGCCTTATTGCAGCGCTAAATGCTTTCCGCTGATCGGCGTATGGCGATCGACAGGATTATACCACTTCCTCGTTCTCCCCTTGCTTCTTCAGATGGTCAAGATCGATCTCGACGATCTCGACGTCCATTGCAGAAGGCTGCTCCGATTGGCTCCACCCGCACGTCGTCTTTGCAAGTTCACGCACAGCACTGCTTCACCTCCAATTCGCTTGCTTGATTGATTCATTATTGTCACTGTTCGTTCCTTTTATTCCAGCGTCGCTGTTCTCTATTCTGTCGTTTTCCGAGATGGAAAATTCAAAATCAGGTCTTAGCACGCTTTCTGGATGGCGCCCACAACTGGTGCAGCTTTTCTTTAAAGTGACACGGAACAAGGGTGTGAACCGACGTGTCCTTCGGCAATCTCCAAATAAAATGGAATCGTAGAAGCAATTTTCACAGGAACTGTACATCTTCGAAAAATGGGTGCATTGCTTAGAGGCCATTGGTTTGTTTTTATTCTGGCCCTTGTTCTTTAGGTTCGTAAATTTTCGCTCGAGGGTCCGATCCCACTCAACCGCCGTTGTCATCAATTCCAGGCTTCACTGGCTTCTCTAAAAGGGGGGAGAATGGA